CAAATTGACCGAAGCATTGCACTGACAGCCAGGGAGTCATGCAGTAATATGCATAGAGGAGAAAAAAATGACCATTGATTAGCTGTACAGTACAATTTTTATACCACATTCAGCTCCTCATTCGCCAAAACGGGGTACAGCGCCGAGCCAGAAAACGACGTTCCCACACCAGAACATCCCAGCATTCCTTAGAGTACGACATTTTAAGAGCAAATGTATCTATCCTCTGTTTCAGGGAACCAGAAGCGCGTCGAGTGCAGACCACACACCACAAGTGACGACGGCCTCACAAAATGTAAGTTTTCTGCCAATGAAATGATTAGCCTGTTGCAGTTGTATTCTATCAGTTGTCACTAATTACAACTATCATTTACCAACTATCAGCTATCACTATGAATCACTAGTAACCAGATTTACTTGAGGCCGTCGTCACTTGTGGTGTATGGTCTGCACTCGACGCCCTTCTGATTTCCTGGACATAAGGTACCCTTTATTTCGGAAGACGAGAAGAAAATCGAGTGCAGACCACACACCATAAGAGACGACGGCCAAGAAAAAAAGCCGCTTTCTTTTGGCCGTCGTCTCTTATGATGTGTGGTCTGCACTCGATTTTCTTCTCGTCTTCCGGAAATAGAGAATATGTATAAAAATGGATGCAACGTGGAAAAACAAAACAAGAGAAGACTACATTCATTCTGATGACCGACAACAACTAACAAATCAAAAATGTTTGAATTTATGAAAGTAATCGATAAACCGGGAACAAACACGACGAACCAACCATTTTTGGTAGACGTTATCACTATTATCACAATTTCCTCGAAATCTACTATGAATAAATCAATCAATAACTGAAGATGTCGATTGCACCCGTCCGCAATAGTAGTACATGCCAGCATTGTTATTATTAGTCAGAGGGTGAATGTCGGACTTTCTGTCACAGCAGAACTCCTATCACAGCGTTTTCAGTTCAACAAGTGAAAATGGCACATGCAAGTTAAGGCATAGTTAGAGCAGTGAACATCACAGTATACATACATACAGTTGATATGCGCGAATTTCCGGATGAAGGTACATCAAGCGATAATCAACCTTCATGAACGATTCAATCGATCGCGGATCAAATCTGCACCGTGGGCGCACGCGCGGCCGTATCGCGCCATTTAAATTATTACTGAGCGCGCGTTAGATCTGAGTAGGCCATGGGTGATAACAGCCCGAGCACAGTTTTGAAGAGAACAATAACAATTGAGACCCATATCAATGATTCACAGCTGCTGCACGGCACATCCAGATCGGGATCTCCTGAAATCAGACGTTGGTAAGGTTTCAAAAGCTCATGCAGTAAGTAAGGTTAATAATTTATATGAAAGGGATGGTGCGAAACTATTGTGGGGATGCGCGATTTTTGGAAACGGTAGGCACGCAATGTACGCAGTGATGTCCCAAGTGCTACGGGAATGTGTAGGGCGAGACCTCAGGCCGATGCCAGACTTTGCGGATCTAGCGCTTACACTACTGGCGCCAATGGCGCGTAGCGCACAGCGAATGGTTCGATTTGCGACGACACGACGCGAGCGCGGACGTTAGCGAATCGTATGATTCGCAAAGTCTGACATCGGCCCTATTGTAAGGGGGTGGAAGAATCAGAGATGTGCTAGCCATCCCAACTTTCTCCTTAATTCTCACACCCCTCCTCCCTCCCCACCACTCTGCTAGACTGATGCATACACGACGGCTAGCTCGATATCAGAAAACTGAGCGCTTAATGTGTGGCGAGCAATCACATGGGTTGACCTTGAGGCGTGCCTTTGTAACACCCCACTTAACCGCTTGAAATAATTTGATCAATAATTACCGATGTAGTTGTCCGTTTTCTCATGCTCCTTGCATTGTGAGCAGAACTCATCACATGCTGGACAAACGATGATACCTTCACGTAGCCAACTCGGTAATCTGAAAAGTAATGACTTGATCATAGAAGGGATCTCATCAGTTAAGAGGGGGGGGCGGAGGATTGTGATGCAACGTCAAGTGGCAGCCTCACCCCCCCCCCACCCACTAGACTGCCTTCACTCCCCCTGGCTTACGGGATCCCGTACTTCAAGAAACCTGTGCGCCAGGGGGAGTATAGGCAGTCTAGGGGGTGGGGGTGAGGGCAGCCACTTGATGCCCCCCTTACTGGATGATGACAATTAAAATGTCAACTCCTGTCCACAAACGAACTGTTATCCTAATTATAATTTGGAGAGATATAATATTTGCTAAATTCGGCAAAAATCGGCACGCTTACAAACCAAATCTGCTACTTTGAAGGATTCAGGATGACTTTCTTTTTTTTTTTGACGAAAACGGCCCAACGCTCGTTTCAAAAGGAGGGAAAGCAGAATGTGCTACCCCGGGATGCTCACTCTTTTACAAGTATAACCTAGGGTAACTCGAGAAACGCATTTATAAAGAACAGTGTCGAGCTACGCTCGCAGAGATGGTGGCGGCGGGAGCTGGTCCCGATCTCCCAGGAACAGTTCGGGTTCATGCCCGAAAGGTCTACTACGGATGCCATCTTCATCGCGAGGCAAGTGATGGAAAAGTACCGAGAAAAGCGCCGACCCTGCTACCTAGCCTTCCTCGACCTGGAGAAGGCGTTCGACCGACTACCTCGAACAGTACTATGGAGAGCGCTCAGGGAGCGGAATGGAGGTGCCAGAACACCTGCTAGATTCTTCTACTCAGCGTTAGTGTATGAAGAGACTCTCGTCTACATAGTGGGAGCGAAGCAGCTCTATTCGCTAGCGCGCCACCACCGCGTTTCAGCCGCTAGAAGGAAGGTGTGGGGAGGGTCGGGAATTGTTGTGGAGACCACCTTTTTTTTGAAGGTTTGAGGATTGCAGAGAGTTTGGTGGGGGCAGTATATTAGAGGGAGCCGAGTGTAGCGCGTTCCTCTTCCTCCTTACACTAGATGTCATGGTGAAGGGGCTCATGGAAGGACCACTGAAGACCATCCTCTACGCTGACGACATCGCCCTGATAGCGGATAGTAGAGAGGAACTACAGGCCAAGGTGCAGCAATGGCAGAAGGTCCTGGCAGAAGGCGGGCTACGGCTGAATGTCAAGAAGACCAAGTTCCTGAGCTCCGAAGAGGGTGCAGAGCCGATCGTGGACGGCCATGGTGAGACCATCGAAAGAGTGGAGGACTTCAGATACCTCGGGAGCGATCTGGCAGCCGACGGAAGTGTGGATCAGGCAGTGAAGGCACGAATCAACGCGGCATGGATGAAATGGAGGGAGTCCACTGGAATCCTCTGCGATCGAAGGTGCTCCAGAACACTGAAAGGAAAGGTGTATCGGGCAGTGGTGAGGCCTGCGATGCTATACGGCAGCGAGTGCTGGCCCCTGAACAAGAATCACGAAAGGCAGCTGCACTCCGCTGAGATGAGGATGCTGAGATGGGCCTGCGGCTGGACGCGACTGGACAGGGTCAGGAACGAGGAGTCAGAGCGGTCATGCAGACTGCCCCTGTCCAGCTGAAGGTACGGGAACAGCGTCTGCGATGGTATGGGCACGTGCTAAGGAGGCCACAGGACCACCCAATAAGGAAAGCAATGGACTTCGAAGCGCAAGGCAAGCGACCGCGAGGTGCCCCAAAGAAGAGGTGGAAGGACGTAATCAAGAAGGACCTAAGTGAAATCACGGCCACAGCAGAAGATGCCCTAGACAGACAGGGTCAACCGTCACGTTCGAACATTTTCGGGATTTTTGCGACCCCCTGTTTTTGTTAATAAGAGTGCTAGACATGAATCCGTTGCGCCAGAAAGCGTCTGTGCCGCCGCAGACAGCGTCTGCATTGCTGCGTCAGCCTTGGAGCGCGGCAGGTATCACCCGGGCGCTGGAAGAACGGGACGCGGCGAAGAAAAAATTTTAGAGGGGAATAACTTTCTTGGGACGTATTTTTTTGACTTGTTGAGGTAGATTTTGACTGTGCCTGAGGTGCGCTTCCAGAAAACTACAAGGATTGCCTAACTCTCCGGAAAGTACTTCTGCTAGAAATGGAAAACCCAAAATTCTAAGAAGGCGCACCTTCAACTTTGAAGGATCATAAAATCTTTCGTATGCGACATTTTGGAAATCTGTAAAACGTTTTAGAAACTTCAAATATTTCTCTAACAAAATATCAAAAGTTTAGGTGATTGTCCCCTTTTTCAAAAAATTGTCCCGTTCGAACATTTTTCGTGCAAAAGCGAGTTTTTGGGCTTTCAGCGACCATAACTCACTTCATTTTCATTTCTGTGATGCACTTTTTTCATGGGGTGAAAGTACAGGATTTGCTCTTTCTAACAAGCCCCAAACCGTTTTTCAAAGTTCATTTTTCGAGAAAATCACACGTTCGAACATTTTGGGGGGTTTTGCCGAACACTTTTTTTGAAATCGCGAGTTTTTGGGCTTTAAGCGGGCATAACTCACTTCATTTTCATTTCTGTGATGCACTTTTTCATGGGGTGAAAGTGCAGGATTTGCTCTTTCTAACGAGCACCAAACCGTTTTTCAAAATCCATTTTTCCGAGAAAATCACACGTTCGAACATTTTGTTCCCATAGGTTTTTGAGCAGCACATGCGAGTTTTTGAGCTTTCAGCAATAATAACTTCCTTCAAAGAACTTGTTGGGGAGGGGCGAAGACATTTTTGAAGACTACGAGATTTCTGCTTTCTTATATGTTTTACCGTTGTCTGGAAGAATCGTCCTCAGAAAATCAGGTCCCGAAGAACTTTAATTTCAGCCCCGAGAAGTCAAACCTTTCATAGGGATGCATTCAACTGTTCTCTATTCCTCAAGAAAACACCGTAATTTGCCTAAAACTGTCTCTCTGTGCATAATTAATCGAATCTAATGCGGTCTGCACAAACAATTCTTGCCCTCGGATACGCCACGCACGCGCCTGTGCGCTGGCAGTCTTCGAAATCGCCCCATCAATGCTGTGTGGAGTGGGCTCGTTCGAACACATTCGAACGCACGGTTGACCCTGATGATACAGAGCGAGAGTGGCGGACGACTGACAAGAAGCGGACTGCGGACTGCGCGAGACTACGCTGAAGAAGGAAAGAAGAAGAAGGATTTCCAGTCAAAATAAGAACGTTACAATCTACACATTTCTGCCAACGAGACTTGAGCGCTTGGATTCCGTCAACATAAAACTGTGGACTTCTGGAGGCAAGAAAATCGCCGAACATCTTTTCCACCTCACTTTGGTTATTGAAGCATTTCCCACGCAAAAAACCATCTAAGTGCTTGAAGAAGTGAAAATCAGTAGGCGAGAGGTCCGGTGAGTAAGGCGGGTGAGGCAGAGTTTCGTAGCCCAACTCGCTCAATTTTTGTAGGGAAGCTTGGGCAACGTGTGGTCGTGCATTATCGTGGAGGAGGATTGGTCCTTTGCGGTTGACCAATGCTGGGTGCAGGACATTGAAGTTTCCGATGCATCTCCTCTATATGCTGGACGTACGTTGCTGCTGTAATAGATTCTCCCTGTTTTAGGAAGCTGTGGTGGATAAGTCCCGCGGAGGACCACCAAACAGTCAGCATTACCTTCCTCTGGTGCAGCTCCGGCTTCGGAAAATGTTTGGGAGCTTCATCGCGATCCAACCACTGCCACTTCGCTTCCTGTTGTCGTAAAGGATCCATTTTCGTCGCACGTGACAATGCGCTCCAAAAAGGGATCGTTTTTGTTACGTAAAATCAGCGAAGAAGAAATTTCAAGGCGCCAATTCTTCTGCTGCTCGGTCAACTCGTGCGGCACCCACTTGTCCATTTTTTTACCTTTCCAATTTTCTTCAAATGCCGCGAAACTGCTGATTTACTAACTCCTAGCTCTGCTGCTATTTCTCGCACCGTTGTTCTTGTATTTCCTTCCACTAGAGTTTTCAAATTGTCCTCGTCAACATCAGAATGGCGCCCGCGGCCTCCCTCATCTTCAAGATCAAATTCTCCACGACGGAATTTTTGAAACCAACGTTCTACTGTAGTGACGCTCACGCTTCCTTGGCCCCATACTTCGTTGATATTCCTAGCCGTCTCCGCTGCACTGCGTCCAAGTTTGAACTCATAGAAGTAAACTACCCTGAACTGTTGCTTCGACATCTTCACTTTGGGCCTGAAAATCTGCGCAAAAATGCATGCTACATCACAACCTATTTATACCATAAAAAGTACATTTGCTAAGCTTACCAAAGGTATGCAGCAGTATCGCGATCAAAAAACGCTTTTCCGCCAAAGTATTCAAAACAAGTACGGCACCCCAAAACCGGCGTTTATTTCGGGACAACCTAATCCAAAAATACACAAGAAATAACAAATTTAGATCAATTAACGAGGAAAATTCATGATGAGCACGAGTTTTTACACTTTCCGAAGCCATAACTTGCTTCATTTTCGTCAAATTGAAAAGTTGATATGTCATACAAAACTAGAAGATTTTCTCTATCAAACGGTTACTAAAGCAGCTTCATACGTCCAGTATTTAAAAAATGGCCACGTTGAGGATTTTTGCCCGAGTACCGCCGAAAGGTACTTTTTCGCTGCATTGGCACTATTTCAACGACTATAGCTCCTTTCAGGGGCGATTACATACTAAAGTAGGAGCAGATTCGGAAATCCTCGTGCTTTTCTCTTTCCAAAAAGTGTAAAATTGTTTAGCGTATCTCAACTTTAACACTTACATGCTCATGAATTTGACGCTGATTTCTTGTTGAATAGTGTACTCCTCCCTGTAATTTCACACGGACCCTTTCAGAATCCTCTTGATTTTTCCTGAATTGAGATTTTTCTCCAGAGAGCCGTAGCGAACAACTGGGCCCACTCTGGGATGCGCCGTGTGCTTCACATCCCTTCAGATTCGAGGACTCACTTGAAAGATAAAATATCCCTTGGAAAACGTGCGAATTTCGGATTCTTTAACTTGTGTGGTGATAAAACACTGAAGTAACTAA